GACTATTTTACTAAGTAGATATAGTTCATTCGAAATTGTTCGATTCAGTTTGGAATTAAAACTTATACATTGAAATAAGGGTTAAACTAAATTAAATCAATTCAGAATCAAAAAATAAATTGAAATGATTATACTAAATTTAAGTAACGTTTCTTTAATTGGGATTTCAATCAATGGCCATGTTTGGTAAATGACTTATCAGCCATTTTTCAGCTTATTTGACCACTTTTAATGGGGTTAACCAGCTGAAGTGACAAAACTTATGTTTGGTAAATGGCTGGTGAGATTAGATTATTGCTCTCCAAAAGCTGAGTTTCAAAACGCTAGCAATAGCAACGCTAGTAATTAATTAGTACCCATTTAAACCTCACGTTATTACTTCAATTCCATTTGGTGTTTTGGCTTCTGTGCATTCCAATTGAGTGTTTTTTACTCACGTGTACTGATATGCATCATATTGCTTACATGCTGCAGCGCACCATCTTCATTTTTTTAAATTATAAATAAACATGATTTTTTCAAATTCATATTATTCAAATTAATTTAAAATGTTTGTTTTAATTTATTTTACTTTTCATGCAGTTTTATGTTTCAATTTCTAAAATTTGAATGATTCGCACGATAAGTAAATATAACTTAATACGGAGTATGAGTAAAAAAAAAACTAATACGGAGTATGAAAGTATTATTTTTATGAGCAACAACCAAAAATGAAATAAAATAGTAATGTCCTTGTATGTCTTTTTACACGTAAACAGTTAATTTACCAAACGTTTGTTGACAACAAGCTAACATAATCAGCCAACCAAAACAGCTGACACAACCAGCTATTGTCAATAAGCTGTCATAACCAGTTAACAGCTAACAGCCAACAGCCGATTGCCAAACAAGGCCAATATAATTGTTTTTCAAAGAATAACCAATACTCCTTATTCTTTCAATAATTATTTCATTGAAAACTTCTTCTCCTTAGGTATATTCTTCCACCTTTTTAGAGTATTTAGGATATTTTTAATTGGATTAGTTTCAGTTTCATACAGGTCAGACCAAAACATACTAGATCAAGTCATGTTAGACTTTGACAGTTGTAAAATACTTATAGAACAAATATATATCATAGTCGACCCGTTCATATCAAATCAGAACATACTGCACTTAAATAGATCAGAACATACTACCCATTCAGAAAATTTCAGACACATTAAAAACACCCTTACATGAGATTTACATGTGAAAACACAATTTCACTCTAACATAGATGACCACAGTTTTACTCAAACACAATTTCACTAGGCTCTTCTACAAAATTTCACTCAAACACGAATTATGAAAATGACACAATTTTACTAGCGTCATACACAATTAATAATCGGTTGTAATTATTAATCTTCTTATTTACTACTGATTTATTTATCTTCTGATCTCCTACTAGCCGAAAGCAGGTTTTAAAAACGCGGTCGTCTCCTAGGTTTTCCTAGGGAGTTTTTCCGGCACCGTCCATGGTGGCGGTAGTGTCCGGTTGTTCTTCTCTCGATTGTTCGAGGATTCTATCAAGGAAGAAACATGAGTATTATGAGCTGGAATTGTCGGGGTCTAGGAAACCTAACCACGACTCATTGTGTTACACAGACGATGTTCTCGATCGCGGCTTGGTCTTGGCTGGGACTCAGGCGAATGGACGGAGCAAGATTGAAGGCCAAAGATCGTTCATGGTGGAGATCAAAAGGTCATGGACGAAGTGTGGGGCTAGGGGCTGGATCAGATCTGGATCGGAGGCAAGGAGCGGAAGATGATTCAGTATTGCTGGACCATCCCCCTCCTCCCCTCCTGAGCCGCCGCCATGGAGTGCAGGAGAGTCTAGGGTTTGGAGGCAGTATTTTAATTTTATTATTTGCTTGCTTTTTAATTTCCATGGTCAGACTGTTCTGTTTTACTTTTATTGTTTCCTTTGCTGTAAGACTCTTGCAATAAGGTGGGTGGGGGGTGGGTGGGGGGGGGGGGGGGGGAAGAATTTGCGGTAACCGTCATTAGCTCTAAATTGCCCAAATTTGGTCTAGCGAGTTATACTGCTTTTTTACAGGTGGTTAGCTCTCAGTCTCGGCCACGGGCGGATGGTTATTTGTGGGTTTTTTCTAGTTCTGTACTCTTGCTGAATGCTATTTTTATGAATTAAGTCTTCTTCGAGAAAAAAAAAATCTTCTTATCTCCTACTAATTTAATAATACTTTTAATTACGAGCTCACTTGGAATTAATAATTACTCTGTAGTAATTGTTAATACTACAGATAATTGTTTATAATATGTAGGAGATAAGATAATAATTTTCTTATCTCATACACCATGTTAATAATTGTTTAAAACGTTTTTGGAGTCTATATTTTCCAATGAAAAGATAGAGAATTTTCAACTAATTATTTAAACATTTTTCATTCTATATTTTGTAATGGAAAGAGTATTTTTTATAACTCTCAATCGCATCCAAATGAAATTCATCTTTTCAACTATCTTGCCAAGTACCTTGTGGTCTGATGGCATCATTGTTGATCTCCCAAAGAGGAGGTCACAGGTTCGAGTCTCATCCAATCAAGGATGTTGACATTAACAAGAGCAGATACTATAATAGATTTAGAAGAATGTTCCAAAAAAAACTAACTTTACCTAAACAAAAAATGAAAATGTTCAATGCCTATTTTTATGCATTAAATTTCATCCATGGCTTATTGTTTTTTTTCAAAACTAACTACACACTTTCTTAATTTATTTCATCCTAGATTACAAAAATGTATAGTTATTAGTTGTGGTCATTTTGGTGTGGTCATTTTTTGAATGTATTAGCCATTATAGGATTTATATCGGAGTATTTAATTGACCACAGGATTTATAGGCTAATATCTTCAAAACTACCTACACCAATTTCATCCTAGATTACAAAAATGTATAGTTATTAGTTTTGAAAAAACAGTAAGCTACAAATGAAATCTAATGGATAAAAATATGCATAAAACAATTTCTTGTTTTGTTTAGTTAAAGATGGTTGAAAAGACGAAGTTCATTTGAATGCAACAAGAGTCAGAGGCAGACCCAAAGGAGAGCTAATCCCCCCCCCCCCCCCCCCCCAAGCGGAAATTCTTGCGTTCACCACAAACAAGAGTTACAGAAAAATGGCTCTTTTAAATATTGGATAATATAGTTTGAGAACATGTTTAAATAATTAGTTAAAAAAATAAAACATACTCAATAAATAAGCATATACATTATCAACCAATGTTATAATCGACTAAATAAGGGACTTTTTGTTAGTTCTAATAACTAATACGTTAGTGCGTGCACACACACACACATAAGGGTTCAAAACTCAATGGAGTGAGTTTCAGCCCTGATTACTCTAGGCTCCCCCCCTCCCTCAAACCCCCCCTGGAGTAAAAAAAGCAAAAAAAAAAAAAAAACCGACACAAAATCGTTCAAGGGCGGAGGTAGTTGGGGGGGGGGGGGGGCACCGGGCCACGGGCCACCCCAAAAAATAAATTCTTTGTACTTTTAGTGTAAAAATTTATGTGTAAAAATGTATCTGAAAAAATTATTTATATCGGTTCACTCCAAGCTTTGATCCTGACTACGCCCCTGAAATCGTTTATCCCGTACCGTGTACGGTACGGGTAAAGATACTAGTATGTTAATATTCATTACTTCTCAATCACTACTGTAATATTAGGCTCAGCCTACGAGAATATGTAACCCTAATAGCGCTATTTGATAGGTATGTTCTTCTGTTTCAAGTATTTTATATTTCCATTTGAAAAATTATTTGGTGTTCTAGGATGAATGTTCCGATAAAGTATCTTGTGGTCTGATGCATCACATGACACTTCCAAAGAGGAAGTCACATGTTCGAATTTTACCCAGTTCAAGAATGTCGGCCTTAACAGAACATACTGAACAAATATTATAATAGGTTAGAAAGAATTGACAAAAGAAGACCAATGATCCGATCTAGTTAACAATGTATTAATGAATAAGTATACATTAACATAAAGTTCATAATACTACCTCCGTAACGTAAATATCTTCCCACTTTCCTTATTTGGACGTAACATTAATATCTTCCCATTTCTAATTCTTCCCATTATACCCTCAATAATTTTAAAAATAATACACTATTACACCTATTTTTTTTGGATTTATCCTTCATTCCATCACATTATTTCACTATCTTCCCATCATACCCCTAATAATACATATCTCCTTTCACTATTCTTAATCTACCTACTTTTCAAATGGGAACATCCCAATGTTACGGAGGTAGTAATCTTTATTTCACTTCGAACTCGTGTAGTATTTGATTTGACCATATCTTAGTGTATCCCAATATATATACCGCAATACCACATGTGAATGAGTAAATTAAAGTAGAGCTTTCCATTTTGATTTAGAGAAAATAGAAACTGATAATACAACTTTGTAGCTATTTTGTTACAATAGTCCCCCCTAAGCGTAATTTAGGATTAATTTCACCTTTGCACCGTATCTTCTTTCAACAATATTGACCGGTTGATGAGTTGCTATTCCAGATTATTTACTTTTCTTCTCAAAACATTACATCAAAAATTGCACTTTTCACAAATGATATCCAAACGATTTTCCGTATCATTTTTCTTTTTTCTCCCTAAAAGTTTTCCCTAAAACAAAAGAAAATAACCTTAAATGCTTTCGTCAACCGATCAGGGACCAATGAAAAAGAAGATAGGGTGCAAATGTGTAATATTCCTCAATTACGATTATTAGTTTTCTTTTTTTTGATGTCTCATTAACTTTGTCACTTTCCCATTTAAGTAAAGAATTTGTGGTTCCAGTTAATTCTCTCTTCTGCACAAACTACAATTTTTACTTTATTAATCGTCGTGCTGGTCAAACTTGTCAAAGTTATTAGGGACGGATGGAGTATTTTTAATGAAATTAAAAAAATTGTTCTAAAAAAAGTTACAAGAAAATGAACCCGTCCTCTTCACTGCGGGCTATTTATATGTCCTTCAGTCCTTAGTTTACTATCATTAAGTAGGAGTGATTTATAATACGAAGTACTACATAGTAGTTAATTATTTACTTAGTCCAAGCTAAGCAAGAAATGATTGAGAAGCTTTGGGATGAGGTTATGGCCGGACCTCACCCCGGCGATGAGAGCACCCGCGGCGGCGGCGGCGGCCTTGAGAAGCTTCTGAAGACCCGCCCCCTCTCTATCCAGACAAGTGTAGTGGATGAAGCAGCCGCAGCTGGCGGCAGCAGCAAGTGGTACCAAAGGTCGCCGGCAAGCCCAACGACCCCTTCCCCGACGGCGCGTAAGGACAACGTGTGGAGGAGCGTGTTCCACCCAGGAAGCAACCTTGCCACCCGGAATATCGGTGCCGAAGTCTTCGACAGGCCTCTTCACCCCAACTCTCCCACAGTTTACGACTGGTACACTAATTAATTTTTTTCTTTACTAAACTTTCATATACAGAAATATAATGATCAGGTATTTAGGATAGATTAGATCAAAAAGTAATTATTATACTAGTAATAAGTTTAAACATTAGTAAGATACCAAAACACTACATACAAAAAATAAAAAACTTCCACTAAAAAAGTTGGGAAAAAAAACAATTGCTCTAATAACCTTTAATTCACTATAACCACAAATTAAAGTATATTTTCCTTGATGGCCGTGCTCTTACAGTTACTGCAAGATTTGCGAGTAAACACAGTAGATACAAAATTTGAAGAAAAAAAAGCAGACAAATGCTTCGTATTGAATAAGAACAGCAATTTTTTTCTGTAACAACATTTAATTGGATATTTTCATGTTTTCGCGAGCATTTCATAAAATTATTTGTATTTTTTACCGTAATATTACTTGTACAATATTTCAAAGTTGTTTATTTGGTGTTATCCACCATACACTTTCACTTTCATTTTATGTGTCTTGTTTTAGTTTAGTACCTTTGTAAATATATTAATAAAGTGTTTGAAAAAGTAAAACATGAAAGTGGAATCTTAAAGCAATCCATATTTACCTGTCAATGTTAGTATGATGCAATTTCTTTTTTTTTTGTGAGAACTTACCTGCACTAGTAGGTAAAAAAGACTTAGAGCCCGTTTGTTAATACGAAAAAGGCTGATTCGGTTGAAATTTATGAAATTCTTACTGAAATGGCCGCACTATCGGATTATGTTGATTCATGGAAAAATTATTTTTATAATATATTTTATTAATAAAATAAGAAAAAAATTATATGCAAAAATAGCTAAAATGATCATAACTTCAACCAAGGTAGCCAGAAAAGTAACTTCAATCCTTCTTTTTCTTATTATTACACAATCTTTCTTTTTCTTATTATTACACAATTCAGCAAAAAACTATGTGTTTGGGTGTTTAGTGATAAAGTTGATTGATAAGCCCGATGAGTCGGAAAAGATTTTACCAAACGGCCTCTTAATTCATCTATTTCAATGGATCGAGAGGTTTATTTACGGGTCTGGTCCTATGCTTGCATATGGATATTCTTTTCGATCTAATCAAACCTGTGGCTTTTGGAAAATTTGCAGGATGTATAGTGGAGAAACAAGATCCAAGCACCGTTGAAGAGATCGATCGATCCACGGTCTGAAACTGTTCGATCGGGTCATAACCAATCGGCTCAGGGTTGTAGCTACAAAATTAAACGTACCCATCAAAATAATTTCATGATCTTGAGCCGTCTGATTGTGATCCAACGCCCCTTGCGAATGTGATCACCGCCAGTGCTCTGTTTTAAGCTTCAATCATCTTTCCTTTCTGATCTGTTGTTTTTGTTTATCAATACTACTGCTACGCTAAATTGTAAATGTATCTCCGGTTTCTGTGTGTTATCTTGGCCTCTGTTTGCTTGCTTGCACTTCTTTTTGTTTGCTTAGGATGTTACTTGGTCTGGTTTGGTCTGATTTTTTGTATTTTTATGACTATCCAAGTTTAATCTGGTCTGTGACAAATTAAACATCCTTACACTTCTTTTTGGTGAAGTGAATTTGTGAGTTTAAGAGTCTATTTCTCAATTATTAAGAGGCCAACACTTCTTTTTGGTGAAGTGAATTTGTGAGTTTAAGAGTCTATTTCTCAATTATTAAGAGGCCGTTTGGCATCGGCTTATTGGCTGAAATTAGTACTGATGATCATATCAGTTATATATATATATATATATATATATATATATATATATTTCTTTTTTTATTAATACAATATATTTCCTAATTTGTTATGCTTTTCAAATTATTCAAGTTATGCTTTTCAAACATTTAAACTATAAAATACTCCCATATACTCCCTATATATATATATATATATATATATATATATATATATATATTTCTTTTTTTATTAATACAATATATTTCCTAATTTGTTATGCTTTTGAAATTATTCAAGTTATGCTTTTGAAACATTTAAACTATAAAATACTCCCATATACTCCCATAAAACTTTGTCTATCTTTCCTTTCCTTTTTCGGACATCCCAAAAACTTTTGTCATTCTTCCTTTTAATCAATATTTCATGATTTCTATTAATTCTTTCTTCTCTGCACAAATTTCAACCACACAGTTTTTATTTTATTTTTCTCCGTGTCGGTCAACTTTGGCAAAGTTTTAATGGACGGAGATAGTAATAGAACATCGTGGAATCTATTATCAAAGCCCGACCAAATGAATGATCGGGTCAATGGTCAACGGCCACTAAATCCGGTCAATATTCTTTTAAAATAAAATGTAAAAATTATTTTATTATTAGTATTTATAATTTCAATAATCATATTATACAAATTATAAATAATAATCATTGAACATGAAACTTTTACTATAAAGTTAAATGTGTAATGTAGATAATGAGATTCAAAATGCATTTGAACTTAGCTAAATGTTAGCATATAAAATGTGAATGCAACATTTATTAGTAAACCATTAAAATAACAAGTATTTTTACTCATATTTGGTATCTTTGTTCTAAAAATCATTCTAGGCGTCCGACTAGTCCCCGCCTAGGCGTTAGAGGTGGCCGGTCGCCCCGATTTTCATCTAGGCGCTCCGACTAATTTGTTTGCCGTCTAGGTGAATTAGTCGACCGCCTATGAGGCCTAGCTGCCCGCCTAGAGCGCCTAATCGACCGCCTAGGCTGACTAGATTCGCCAAACATTACTTTACTTTTTAATTTTAATTTTCTAAGCGATATACGTACTTTAGCTTTAGCCATGGATATAAAGAAATGAAGTTGTAAATTAAGATAAAACTATATATGTTTCAATATATGCCTAAATTTCATCATTATTTATATTTATAACATAATGAAGTTAAGCGATTAGTTATCATATACTACGTATGATTAAATGTGATAATTCTATCATTCATGTTTGTTAATGTATATGTGTGTGTATTTTATACACACAAAAATACAAATTTACTTATCATATTTATGCAAATATATAGATAAAAATGTAATTTATTTGTCTCCGACTAGTCCCCGACTAGGCGCCCGCTTAGCCGCCTAGGCGCTAGGCGCTGGGCTGGCACCCGACTAGCGCCTAACGCCTTTTAGAACATTGTTTGGTATAGTAATAGAAATACGGAGTACTATGTATAATGTGATGAATAATTAATAACAGATAGGATATAATAGTATTAATTTATAGTTAAATAACACAAATGAACAACTTGCTTAAGAACCAAGCATTCCAGCCCAGCTGGTTGTGAGGTTACCGTGCCTAGTGGGAGGTCTCGAGTTCGAATCCCGCTAGGCACACAAGGGTGTAAAACTCAATGGAGTGAGTTTCAACCCTTATTACTCAAGGCCCCCCCAACCCCCTCCCCCAGACCCCCCTGGAGTAAAAAAAAAAAAAGAACTTGCTTAAGTAGTACAAATGGTATAAAAATAAAAATTCAAATTAAAAACGGCCAGGTTTGCAGGTTCCAAACAGGTTCCGGTCCTAGTTTGTACCCGGATTTTGGGCGGGTCATCTGGTTTTCTGAGATTAGCCTGATTTGCAAGTTGGACCCTAACTAGCCTGGTATTCCGATCCAAGCGTGTCGCCGGGTTCCGGGTTGACTCGTCTAGGCCAGTCGGGTTTGTTAATATTAGGTCAAAATTTGAATAAAGAAAAGAAAATTGAACATAAAAATAAAATGTAAGTTAAAAAATAATCTCACCAGATTATAACGTTTATTCCTTACCAGATTCATTGTGTATTCATGAGTCTCCCTAGCTCTTTTAAATTTAAGTTATTGACATTAAAACTGACAAATGAATTGTTCAAAAAAAAAAAACTGACATGAGAAGGCGAAGTTACAATACATCCTCATTAAAGAATTGTAATACCTCAAATATTTAATTAAAATATGAAATGTACGGATGTGAAGTGTTTATATCATGATTATTTAATATAAATTGTGAGGAGTATGTGATACTTTTTTATAAAATAATATATTATGTTGGGTGGTGAGATATAAAACACCACTATGATTTTGATGTAATTTAAAGATAAATTTTGACAACATATTTTTATTTTACGAAGTAAAATAATTTTGTACCTTCAGTCATTTTGAGTGTAAAGTGTTTTAATTGTCAAACAAGCCATAAAGATTTTAGTTTATTGCGCGGGAACTCCAAAGGGTTGAATCCCCACCCTAAAGGCCTCCAGGCCTCGACCCTACAAGACATTGAGAGGATTTAAGTTACGGCGACTCGGTCAACATAATGATGGTAGACATTGTATCTGTGTGCACCAGAGGCCCAGTCTAGCACACATGAGTTGTAACCTCCGTTGCGGGTTTCGATCAACGGAGCTACTCATGCGGGTTAGTCTATTGTGTCCGAATAAGGTGTTTAGTTGCCTAGAGCTTTAGATTCGCCTTATATTTTATTTGCTTTCAAATTTAATTTTCAAGACATTTATGTAATATGTGCTTTTAACTTTAACTGCATATATATATATGAAGAAAGCTATTTGTAGATATATATAAATAACACTACATAAGGTTGTATATATTCTCAAAATTTATTATTATTATTTCATACTTATTCTGTTCTTTAATCGTTGCAACATTATAATTTTTGCACTATTCACACACCTTATTTTGATCACAGTTTTCTAGTAATATATGTAATCAAATTATTATGCATAAAATTTCATTTATTACATTATTGACTTGTTGAGTTAAGTGAGTAGTTATAATATATTAGTAAATGTGACAGTTCGATCATTTTACATGTTAATGTGCGCGTTTACCACATATGGACACAATATTATTTATCTTATTTATGTAAAACTATTAATAAAAATATTTTCATTAATAAAAAATGTCTCCGGCAAGTCCCCGCCTAGATGCCTAGGCACTAGGAGATGGGTAGGCAGTAGGCACTAACGCCTTTTAGAACATTGATTTTAATTAACAAAGATTATTTTTTATGGGTTGGGCCAATAGGCTGGCTGGCCCCTATTTACATTCATGAACATAAAACCATAATATTTATGTTTATTAAAATATAAACTCAAAATCTTTATGAGTAAAATGTATAAATGGTTCTCAAACTATCATCATCATATTATTTTGGTCCTCGAACTATTAAATCTATCATTTTAAACCTTAATCTATTTAATCTACATTAATCGATTCCTTCCATTAAAAATTGTCGTTTACATTGACCGTTGATAATTTAGTAGCATCTCATATTTTTACACATTTTAGAACAACACAAATATTCTTCAAATTTCAGTAGCTAATACTCCATACAGTTTTTTTAGAATATACATATATATACACATACACATATAAGAATTATAAATAAATAATTAAATAAATAATATAAAACCAAACATATGGCTTAAATATATAAAAGAGGGTCCCTAACATTAGAAGACCATTTATACAACGATAGAGAAAGAACTGTGATGGTAGAAAAGGGGAGAAAAAGAGAGAAGATCTAGCCAAAAAAACAAGTTATGTATTCATTCTCTTCATCTTATATCAATTATATTCTAAAATTTCATTGCTGAAATTTTGTATTTTATATGTTTTTAAATTGTATGTAGTTTTATTTAGCTATTTGATATTTTTCTTCCTAGGTTTATGAAACCATACAGCTGCCTTCTGAGTCCAAAAGCTTAGATATTTGATTAGTTTCCCTACAATTATAATCTTATTAACATATACGGATAGCTTATTTTTGTTTCACTTGATTGAGCTTTATTTATTTGAATTGAAATAAAATATGTATATCATGTATTCATTTGATTCTTTTCTTAAGAGAGGATAAAACAACTCAATTATAAAGAGATGAGTCGATAAAATTAAATAAGAAAACAAGGATGGTTGTAATAATTAATTATTATTATTAGTTATGTTAATAATAATAAAAATTATGGAGTTTTATTAAAATGGAGTATTTATAACAAACAATTAATAATGGAGTATTAAAAGTCTTTATTTGGTGAATTTTCAAAAATTTATATAACAAATGCATAAGTGGAGATGTTACATCCACTGCACCTTAAAAATCACATTTTTTAGGAGGGGGAGGGGAGGGGGAAGAGGGGGTGGTGATGGTAACCTTACAAAGCGGTGATGGTGGAAGGAGGGGCGGCATATAGAGATGGCGTTGGCAGCAAAGAGCAGAGGTAGATGAACACCGACTACAACAAAGATGAACACCAAAGAGAGTGAGGCACACATCTTGGGAGGGAAGATGAACACTGTACTGTTTACAAAATTAGGGTTTTGATATAAAATAAGAGAGCATAATGGTAATACGGAGTCCTATTTAGGGACTTAAAAACAAGTAATCTTATTTGTGCATTTATGTTTAGTTTTAGTCTTATATATAGGACAATTACTTAATACGAAGTATAATACTTTTATTTAGAATTACAAAACATTTTTACTCCTATTCGAATATTTTTCGAAATCATTAACACAAAAACATGCATGGTAAACTTGTAGTACAAGGAAATATGTACAAATGTACAAGTATTTATCGCTAGTGTAAGAACTTATAATAATAATAAGAGAAAAGGGGCAAATAAGCTCACGTACTAACAAAAAAAAAGTCAAATAAGCCCTTTATTTAGGAGGCTCTGTTTGGCCATCACCATTTGGGGTGGTTCCCGATGGAATTTTTTGATGAATTTTTTTTAGCATCTTATTCATTAAGTCTAGTTTACGTATACCAAATTTCAGCTAACAAATTGTACGTAAAGGCAGAACTTTACCTCGAGATTCAACCACTTCTCTAGCAATAATACATGAACAACGTAAATAGTACTCCGTATAGTTCTTAGACAATTAAGGCCGAACTCTAAGAATAAGACGGTTTTATCTTAAAATAAGCTGAAAACATAATTGTTTTGGGTTGAGTACTAAAAGTAAATTAAAATTATGAGTGGGATGACATCTCAATGAAGTGTCACTAATATCACTTTGTTGTAACATTTCAAACTATTACACGTGCTTTTAGTGCCCGACCTGTGTTGAGCATGCTCCCAGTTCCAGACCACGATCGTTCAAGATGTGCATCCAAAACAGAACCAGAATTCCAAATTGGAACCAGAACCATTGGAGAGACCGTGGGGTTCTGATTGGTGTAGACGTGGACCAGAGTTGGCCAGCTCCAATTGTGAGTCTACTGTAAAGAAAAAACGTATTTGTTGGGATCCAGAACAGCCAGCAACCAAGAAGGTGGACCGGGCGTGAAACAAGCACCCGTTAATTTGCTTTTGTTTCATGAATTTTGGAGACTGTAGCCCATCCATCTAGGATTAGATTAGAATTGATTCATGTACAACCCTATTGGTATGTCCTCTTGAAGAAATATTTGGATCCACCAGTGTATTGGTTCACTTAAAAAGTAAATCATGTATTCATGTGTGTGTATGTTTGATTGTACTTGCATGCATGTGGGGCTTGAATCGCCATAGCACAAATGCACTATACACCGGTATATATAATTATCAAAAGTGATACGTAATTTTTTTTAAATGTTACTCTTGTATTTTGTTTTCCATCATTTGCAATGGAGCCAAAGATTCATTATTTTTTGGCTTGAGAATATGATGGAATAAAGCAAAATGGCTCATTAAATTGTCTGCGTTTCTTTGTTATGAAGCGGCAGTCAGTACATGCAATTTTGGACGCAATTTTCACTACGGGTCATCCAGAAACAGTCTTTTTGTGCTTTAGTATAAGGATAAGACTGCGTACATCCGACCCCCCTTACCCCACCGTAGGTGGGAGCCTTTGCGGCACTGGAGTAAATGAAAATGAAATGAAAATGACTCTTGTATTTTGTTCATTTAAAACAAATAATTTGTCATTTACTCTTCCATAAGGTACTCACCAAGATTTACACCTTGGATTGTAAACACTTTACAATGTTATCTAACCTACTTCAAAGGATCAAGCTAAATAATGTTATTGTCTTATTCTCAATCTTAAGCTCGGTATACTAACTAGTAACTATACAGCAACAAGAGCAGGCCTATGAGGGCCTCAGGGATGAGTAGGGCTACGAGCCTACGGCTTACCCAAGTAATTTTTATAATCTTTGGTCCTCCAACATTAGTTTGTTGGGTATGCCCCTCACAAAGCCTATGCTAAGTGAGCTAGACACCCATGTACTGATACGATTTGTCGATTATATGAAACCCGAGAAGTTTCATCTAGGGGAATGGTGAATATGGTGCATTTCCATGAGAACAATGACCAACACATGACCGCACTGTATCCCAAGGACTCTAAAACAGATTATATGGTCAGGGGATTACATATATGTTCACAAAACCCGTCCACTGCATTTTATCGATAGCTGCTATGTGTGCTGCACTGCTTCTGCCACTGCCTAAAAACTATGTTCTAACTTTTCAGAGTAACAAGTAGTCATAACTGAAAAAGCATGGAAAATATGGTATCAGTCATAAAATTTCACTTAGGTATCACTGGTTTCTAAAGAAAGGTGTATATATTATATATATGAAAACGTACAAGAGATTGTCAAGAGCAGCAAGTCATTTGTGCTAGTATTATCTTAATTAGGACCTTCCATATATAGATCACAACACCTTGAATGAAAGGTGCTTTGCTACAAGTACAGATTATAGGCTTAACTGATTACCTTTCCACTAAGCTAAATAAAAACACTAGACTGGATGTATTTGACTAAACTGGAAATTCCCAAGTATCTGTGCACAGCAACTGAATGTTTTTCACCACCATTACCACAACCACCACCCTAACCCTTTGACTTGAGCCGATATGCCAAAAGCTGAAATATAAGACAATAAAAGAAAAAAACGGAAGGGTAAAGGTTACATATCTGTTAAACCTCAATCAATTTGCATTAAATGGAACTACAGCAAGATATAGAACGGACATCTCCGCATGTACCTCAAGCATGGTTGTTAAAATCACGAGTTGAATCGTAAAATTGTACGATTTTACGATTCAACATCACTAAACCGATTCAAATCGCAAACAAAATCAGAAATTTAAAAAATCGTTTTAAAATCGTATACAATCGCTTAAAATCGCGATTACATCCGATTTTACGATTTTAAAAATTTATGTGTATTTCAGGGAGAACACGGGCCAGATCTTAAGCCAAACGCGTCCCAAATAACTTTAGCCCGTTATTGCTTACGGAGCTGCTGCCTGGCTGTTGTGCGTATGGCACTGACATTATATAGGGAAAGTGGGACGACAACTTTCCTTGCGTTTTCGGTGTGGGAAAGTCTCATTTGAGAAATGAGAGAAGAAAAAACCATTTTAGAACAGCAAAATTTCCGCTCTAAACTACGAATCAAACCTGCACGGCTGCACCCCATTGTTAAAGGAGCAAATTAACTTTACCAACTCAAAAATACCAAGTGTTGATTAGTAGGAGTATTAACGTAGCTATAGAACGTGATTTAGTAAATTTGTAAAAACATAGTTATACTATTTTAACTACGTAGTGGAGTAATATTTATACAATGTTTCCAATCTAAAACTTGATTACTCCGTAAGTACTTATAACATTGCATTTATTTATTGAGTGACTTTTATTCTTGGTTACATAACATTATTTTGTGCACTTTAATAAATGCATCATTATAAGACTTAAACATATAGTGGTTTAACTTAGAGACTTAAATTTGCAATAAATTAAAGTATTAATTCATGTTAAATTGTATGTATCCTTTTATATAATATGTTTAGTAATTTTTATTCATTTTTTTAATAAAATCTTACGATTTTTGATTCGATTTTGCGATTCGATTTTTAAATCCTTATTACGATTTGATCAAAAAATACGATTTTAACAACCTTGACCTCAAGTGCATATTAGCCAAAAAAATCAGTGTAAATGTGTAATGTGTCTATAATGTTTGAACGTAGGTGCAGATTGGCCCTTCAAATTCTTTTAGGCACAGATGAACACTTGAGTCTCTTTTCATAGCCCTTTATGGTAAGTGAGAGTGTTCTTCATATGAAACTTAATACTACAGCAACAACAACATCCAAGCCTTATTCCCAAAAAGATTTTGGGATCTGTTATCATGAACCGATCCATGATATCGGAGCCAAAAGGAGAAGAAAGATAAGAAGAATAGAAGTTTAACAAGATATAACGTATAAGATAAAAATAAATAATACCTCCGTTCTTAAATGGTTGCAACATTAGAAACTTTACACTATTAACGAGCTCTAATTGGAAGGGGGAAAAACAGACACCCCATCCCTCCATCCCTGAGGCCCCCAGAACCGACCAGACAGTTATCTGGGAAGCTTTAAGTTGAGCTTTCATCTCACTCTGGTGGAAAGAGAATGGGATTTCATCCCAAGTCATTACTTGGAGTTGAAACCGGGACCTCTCTACTTTGACTACATTTTATTTAGGAATGCATAAAAAATTATTTTTTAAAAAAATATAATTAAATATTTCTCATTTTAAATTTTCAAAATGTATTTTAAAAAAATACAATTAGAGAATTGAATATATTAGTGGTCAAAATTGTGCATTGGGAAACATATAAATGGAAGTGTTGCAAGTTGCAACAAAAAAGAACGGAGGAAGTATAAGATAAAAATAGGGAGATTTCCCAACATAGGTGTAAATGAGGTTTGGAATTCCAAAATAGGACTCCTATATTTTTCTTCCCAAAATAGGACTAATATGGTAGTATTTATTGCAATCTTGTAGGCATGATTGTCAAATAGTTGCAGTACTATATATTCAACATGACAATATTTATTATAATTAATGGCAGTATTTATTCAATCATGGTAGTATTTTTCAACCATGGCAGTAACGATTCCTATTTCGGGAAGAAAAACATAGTAGTCATATTTTGGAATTTCAAACCTCATTTACTCCTACTTTGGGCAATTTCCTATAAAAATAACATAAGAACATAAGAAAGATAAAAAGATAAAAAAACATAAGAAAGATAAAAGATAAAAATAACATAAGAATATATAAAGATTAAGATAAAAGATAAAAGTGAGAGAATTTTAGGAGATACCACGTGGCTTACAACCTCTGAATATTATTTTAAAGCCTAATAATTTTTGGAGGAATTTGACTTTGCACCCCATATTTTGGGCGATTGCACTCCAAATGTTGAGCGATGTTGGACTTTGCACCCCGTTTTTGGTAAGATTTTTTTAATAAGATAGGGTGCACATTTTTTTATAAGATAATGTGCACATTTTTTAATAAGATAGGGTCCACATTTTTTTATAAGATAGGGTGCACACTTTAACTTTTTTGAAAAGTGATGCAATGTTCAATTTCGTCCAAAATATGTGGTGCACAGTCAAATTCCCCGATAACTTTTTCATTCTCATCCGTTCTCTTTTGAACGTTATATATCAAACAAATTGGGTTTTTGTGACCTTCCACATGTTATCAATATTCCATTTATAAAAATAATGGACACAAACATTAAACATAAATATAAGTTAATGTATTATTTACAAATATCGTAAATACAACATTCTTTCAATCATTAGCTCCTTTTACAAATAATATACTCCGCACTAAACTATAAGGAGTACTTTTTCTCTTTAAAATTTTTGTATTAGTTCTCAAGGTCAATATCCAAGTGTAAAAGACTAAACTTTGAAGGCCAATCTGCACCTAAAAGCAAATGTAAAGGGCACATTGGAACCAACAAAATCTTTAAGGGCCAATATGTACCTAAGGGAAAACGTCAAGAACATATTTTTACATTCTTCCTGATCTAAAATAATGTAAATTCACATTTTCATGAAAACACTGTTTAAAAACCATGTACTCACCAGATTACATTGACTAAAACCACGGCTGGATCGGATTTCTTCCAACGTCTGGTTTTCTCGTAACAAGTCGAACTCGCCATTGGAAGGAACGCCTGCAACTGATTTTGTGTTCAACACAGCCTCAGAGCTTGAAGGTTTCATGGTGGAACTAAGCTCTTTCATCACCAACATGTCGATTCCATCAGCTTGGATTGAAGTCTGCAGAGAGACATACTGTACAGGAATGCATTCAGGATCTTGTATTGCAAGGGGGGAAAAAATTAAACCGCAAAAATGAATCATTAGTTTTTTCTAAGAGAAAAGAGGGGTGCCAATGTTATACTTGAATCAAATGTTTAACAGTCAGAGTTGGTCTGCAGCAAAGATATGGTCGTTGCAAACTTGGAATATCTTCCTCACACAAGGAAACAAGCATGAGGCCGATATCCACCTGCCGAAATAAAGAATCAAATAAAAAATAAAAGAAAGTAGAAAGTAGAATGTGCATGTGTACTGATAAAGCAAACAAACATACAAATCACAAGAACTCCTTTACTGAACCAATTTTACCTTTACTTCATTTTGATTTGAATGTTGGAGAGATTCAATCAGCTTCGAGACTCTACTGTTCCTGCGAATCCGGGCATTACCACTGCCGCCGCCCAGGCTGCTATACCTATTTTGAGTTTTTTGACTTCGCATGCCACCCTTCCCCCATGCAAGAATTTCTGAGCTGCCAATAAGCCCCATTGCACCAAACGACTCTCTGTTCATTTCTGAATCATTTTCATCAAAGCCTGAATTGGCATTGCCTGCCGCTGATCCTAGAGAGAATCTCCCTCCCAATCTTTTAGCCCTTTTTTGTTTGGCTTCTGTACCATGCTGTTCATCAGCAGAAGACGAATCTTTGTCATCATGGCCATTGCCGTCCTCATCATCATCAGATCCTTGAGGTTCAACTCGATGGTTTCTCCTTCTCCTTAAATTTCTATTCCCAGATCTCCTAATATATGCTGATTGATTTGATCTTGGTGTTCTCTTTCTTCCCAATGCTTCAGTTTGACGTCGAAGCGTCTGGGCAATTGATGCTTGAATCTGTTAATAATTAGATTTTTAGTTAACTTTTCCGTTCCAAATACTATAATTGACAAATCTCAAAGAATATGATTGTCATGCAGCTACCCAAGCCTCCACCACTAGAGATGCATATAGTAACTATCTCACCTCATTGCAGCCTCATGATATCTTCCATGCAATTCTTAAATCCCTAAGATGATGAAGGTTTTGGAATTTCATCTTATTGCGCATTTTTTAGGAAAGACGAGATAGGAAGGAAACATGACATAAAACTTTACTACTCAATTTTGTAAGGTTTTAGAGTGTTGCTCTAATCGGAATTTTGGCCCTGATGAATGCTTTGGGTTCACATTCTAAAAGCCAAACTTCTAATCATTCATTCATTTTCATTTTCATTTACCCCAGTGCCACAAAGGCTCCCACCTACGGTGGGGTAGGGGGGTCGAATGTACGCAGTCAGACTATACTAAGGCACAGAGAGACTGTTTCCGGATGACCCATACTGAAAATTGCGTCCAAAATTGCATGGACTGACTGTTACTTCATAACAAAGAAGCGCAAACAGTTTAGTGAGCCATTTTGCTTTATTCCATCATATTCTCAAGCCAAAAAATAATGAATATTTTGCTCCATTGCAAATGATGGAAATAAAAGCCAAACTTCTAATGCAAGTAAAAAATATACTCCCACTGTTCTAAAAAATTAACCTCACATTTCCTTTTAAGAAAGAAAATTGTGTGGTTCATATTGTTTTTCTCTCCTCTAAATAACTCTCAACCACATGGCTTTGATTTTCTTTATCTCTTTGCGGTCAAACTTGGATATGTTTTGTGGGACGGGAGTAACATCTTTTTATACTTCTCGTCTGTAGCACTATGTAGTTCTTATGGAATTAGAAAGCAATTTTAAGATCATTACATCATTGAAGCATTAAAGAGTTAGATGACAAATATAACTCACCTGCTTATTTCGAGCCATCTCCTCTTCATGAAAAGCCAATTCCTGAACAGGTAAAGACAAATTTGCTTACATAATAATTCAAGAGGAAATTCAATGTGCTGTGTATAATACTACCTCTTCCTCATATTTGTCAATATCTGGATACAGTATAGCTATTAAGGCATCATAGTTTGGGTCATCCCTCAAAGAACGGCGACTAGCGCAATGCGTGCGACAAGCAGGACATTCATTGTTCCTAGTACACAATTTTTTATTAATTCGCATGATATTTGGCACTATCTATCTGTGAAGGATTAAACTAAAGTAATACCCCATTCGCATAGACTTGTCAATACATTCTCTGCAAAATCGGTGTAAACATTCCATAACCGTTCTTGTCTTTCGAATAATGCCTGCCCATCCACAGTGGTAAGAAGCATCAGCAGATATAAATTGGTTTTAACTTACATATAACACTAAAATATGAACTCCAAAGAACATAATAAAATTCCCTTGAACGATTCCTGAAATTTCAAATTCAATTGACTAATATAATATAAGATCACTTAAGAGATGCTAAAGCAAATAACTTAAGACAAAAGCATTAAGCGATACCCTGGTATGACACTCAAAATTTTCAAGTCATAATTTGTAATGTACTAATGTGTGTAAATGATTATTCACATTACTTATAATAGAAAAGAATATGAGGAGGTATATTCATTGTAGTATCACCAGAAAAGACACGTGGAGTCATTAGTCACATTAACAATAGAGTTGCACTCTGAAGAATTATTCGTAGAGTTCACCCAACTGACCCAAGAAAAACTAAAGAGCGAGGGAGGGAGGATGGGGGGGCATCTAGAGATTGCCTTTACCAAAAACATAAACTACTTTGAGATTCCAAGAATTTGCAGCATTGAGATTGGGATTCAGAATTTAAAGAAATTACGCCTGCTAATTGATTGGCAATTTAAGAAAATAAGTGTGCATATTCTTGTGCATGTTCTGAATTGCATAGTTTCCGACTTTCCATGAAACACTGCTGCTTATGGTCAGCTCCATAACCCATTTGGGTTTGGTTGAAGGGAGAAAATTTTCTATTCCTTGTTTATTCCCTAAGACAAGTCACTCTGAACTTTCTGTGATGACATGTTATCTTCCTTGGAGATCTTTTTCCTGAAATTTTGAGAAACAAAAGTTACCCGCCCCCCTCCGGCATTGTCTTCTCCCAATGGATAGGGAATAGAAAAGGTTACGCTAGGACCCCATACCCATTTGAGATTCATCATTGATATTATTATTGTTATTATTATTATTATTATTATTATTATTATTATTATCAATATTAGCATCATCAGACGAGTTAGTTTATTCTTTGTACAATTTATTCTCTTATCACTCCAAAGCAATTTTCCATCATTTGCAATGGAGCCAAAGATTCATTATTTTTGGCTTGAGAATATGATGGAATAAAGCAAAATGGCTCACCAAACTGTCTGCGCTTCTTTGTTATGAAGCAGCAGTCAGTCCATGCATATTTGGGCGCGATTTTCATTATGGGTCATCCGGAAACAGTCTCTTTGTGCTTTATGCTTTAGTCTAGGGGTAAGACTGCGTACATCCGACCCCCTCCTTACCCCACCGTAGGTGGGAGCCTTTGCGGCACTGGGGTAAATGATGATTGATTGATCACTCCAAAGCAAACAAAACATTGGGTGTTCCCAACATTTTGTTTCTACCAACCAAACTCTAGAATAAGTATTAATTGAATACTGGAATAAGTAATACTAATATTTTGCTTCTACCAGCCAAACACTGGAATAAGTATTACAGGAATCAGTATTAAATTTGTTACCTAAAAAATAAAAACTCATTTCCCTATGTATATACTCAACTATTTATGTTCCTGAGTCTGATGTAGTATATAGTTGTTACGCTTTCCTTTCACTGCCACGTATCAAGAGAATTCACAATGCTTCAATAGGAGCTTATATGTAATTATTCTAACATGGCACCAGTAATACAGGAAGAAATAAAATCTATGATGAACAAGCTGCGGAGGCTGTAATCACAAAATTATACTATGGGACCCCCTTGACGAGTATTGTTGAATAATCAATTCTAGATTCCTAATACTGACTCGATGTAGATTTAGAAGAGGGAATATGTTAGATTGCTTTAGGATTCGCTCCATTACTTCCATTGCCCAGCTAGGTAAATGCACCAGTTTGCCTTAACCCAAGGTTGTTTAATCAGTTAATTATTCAGGTCCTTCAAGTGCAATACAGTCTTATACTCTTACTCATATTTGCATAAAAACGATGTTTCCAACTATTGAGCCCGTTGGCAAGAAAACAGAAATTTTGTCACATTCATAAAAAGCTAAAATTAAAAAAAGGAGAAAAAGAATACAGCAAATACCTAAGCATATCGGACATTGTACTTCTTTGCGTATTTCTGATAGTTTAAGGGTGATAAATCTGCAAAAGAGATATTTAATTGCACAAGTAAATATGATCATTCCTTATAGTAACTTTATTCTCAAATTCATTTTATAACAATAATGCTTAGTATTAACCAGGAATCATGAATGGAACTGGACGAAAGGAAATACATCATAGAATCAGTAAGCCACTCATCCGTATCCTGAAAATCCTATTTGGGATGTATGTCCCTACATCCTAGATCTAGCTTTATACTGTCTCGATCAATGCATTTTATATGTTACTTCTTAACCTTTCTATTAGAGCCTCAAAACACTAAATATCTGTCCAAGACAAGTTCCTATTGGACAATTACAATGTCAATGTGTTAGACATCATTTGTCTATAGACAGGGTCCCATTCAGAAAGATAGATATGAACATTTTTGAATACTTAAACTCTTCTAGGAGAGCAATAAAGAATAATGCTTCTCTTATCCCCTCTTTTTCTTTTTTCCTACTCATACTATCATTCTAGTATTCCTTCACCTGTTTAAAATCTGTTGAAGAATGTCTTGTATCGACAAAGTGATACACCATAAATGGGTACATTATTGGATTCAGACTAGTAAGCTTTAGTTTGACACTTTGACTCGCATGCATTATAGCCCAAATTCTATATGAACTCGACTACTGCCTGAATTGCCCATCTCAAATTCTAAGAGTCATTAAGTCATCATTGTGCTACCATCTCTAATACTACTCTAAGCAATTCATAGGTCACACTATTAGTCAAATACAAAAGTATATATAATTTCCCCTTGCATTTTGTTTGGTTACTGAGTTACTCTTACACAATCGCCACATATATCATACCTAATCTACTAAATCAAGACAATTACATTACAATGCCAATACCTCTACACTTCTACAGTTTATTGGGCCAAATTTGGTGGTGCTTATGCACATTCTCTTCTCTTATAGTGAGAGGATTGGCTTGTGACAGTGGCATGCGGAGATGCTAACTACAACCTGGGGGCATCTATGATGGTCAAAATAGGTTTATATCAAATCAATGAGCAGTTTGGCTTGCCTGATCCCTAAGATAGCGTTTGAAGGTGATATGGATGCACTCAAATCGTTGTTGTTTTTCAACCCTCGGAGGTTATACCCTTTTACAATTTCTTCTTTAGCTTACATTAAAACATATCATCTTTTCATACTTGATTTCATATTTGGACTTCTGTGTTCATCATAAGGGCAAAAAGAAGTGTGCATGGCGCGGTACAAGCAGAATCGCTAAAATTCTATTTAATTTCATTACTGGTATTGTGAAATGGTTCCCACCATGCTACCTCTAAGATAATATGAATAAGAGTTTGGCTTATCTGAAACAAGCAAGGTAGAAATGGAAGATAAACAGTATCAATCAAAAGTTTCAATGAAAGTTCTATTTCTGCCTTTCAGGTTTCCAACAAATGTGACACACAAGAAAATGTTTAAAGTTTAAACATGAAGTTGTTAGCAACTATGTAGACTTAATGAAGCAACATCCAAACAAAAAACACTCATCTTAGATAAAATTAAACCATAATGGCCAAATGGATTATTTCCCTTTAATCTGTTTTTCAGACAAATGCAGAAAGATAGTTTTATCTCCACAAAAAGTAAACGAGAGAGAGAGATGAATTGAAACAGGGATGACAATCTATGTAAACTGTTGTTCTCAGGATATTTCCAAGAAAAAATGAGGGTTAGATTCATTATGCGCATAGGGAAACACCTCAATCAATGCTAAATGGAGCAATAACAAAATGTAGCTAAACAGCGAGTGTGAAATCTCAAAGGAAACTTTCATTATATATGCAAACTATGGACTCCGAAATTAGCATGGACATTAATATTTGGTATACATCCATTAGAATAACAAACTCACGGGCATAAAACGTACTTCTATACGGTACATTTAGTTTGCATACATACACATCAAGTTCCATAGAAACACATAAGTGAATGCACCAGTTCGCATATGATTTATATTTTAAAGAGAAGAGAAAGTGAAAGTACTCGTCTTTTACGGCATCGCTCGAAGAGCTTTCATCCGAATCTACAAGTCAAAGACACAATCGTCGAGTGAAAACTAAAGACCCCATCGAAAAACTGTACTGGCACGCTAGGTATCAAGAGTGGAGAGAAGATTCTACGCGTAAAGATGAACCTAAGATACGTATGCACGTACCGTCTCCTTCATCGGTTTCTTCTTCGTTCTGATTTTGATTGTCCAACTGCAAATCGTCGGCCTTCTCCTCCTCATCCTCAGCTGAAGAAGATGGAGAGGCCTCGCGCTTCTGTGAAGGCATTGACTTGTCAAGCTAGCAGCCGAACTCGCCGGCGGTGGCGGAAGCGGTGGTGGTGGTAGAGCGAGGTGTAATGTGAGTGTGTGCGCCTTCCAAATGCTTTCGTAAATTTAAGTCAGAGCGGCTGGGTACAAGTCCCCTAGCAGACAGTACATATGCGGGATCGACTATTTCCTTTCGTATGCAGCAGCACCCTGTGGAATGGTTGAAGCTTACATACGTCTGCTACTCATCAGTTCAGCAAAATTGCAGGAGATGATTGAATATATATTACCTCCCTCACAAATACTCTCACACGTATTCTCTTCCTCCCATAAAATAGTTCTCCCGATTTAGATCGGAGTTTAAGAAAATGAGAATAAGGTGAAAAATGTATAGTTGTGGTTCAGTAAAAAAAAGTGAATAAATGTGAGTCACACAAAACTTTCAAAAAAGAAAATGAGAACTATTTTATGAGACAGCCCAAAAAGAAAACAGGGAAATATTTTGCGGGACGGGAAGTAATAAAATAAAAGTAAAAATTGTGTTATTAAGAATTGTGTACAAGAAAAATAAAGGAAAAATGGTTAAATAATTTTTTCTATTATTTTCAATTCATCAATTAAAGTTGTTGAATTGAGAAAAGTGTCATATGCATACATTTACCTTAAGAGATTGATTACTTTGACCATTTATTATGTTTTTTATCTGTAATAATAGGTTTTATATATTCAGAACTCTAAAACTTTGTTAAAATTTGAAGAAATATAGATAAAAATTGTGGAAATATAGATAAAAATTGTAGAAATTTGCAGAATATCAAAGTCAATATTTTTAAAATTTTGAAATTATTTTTATATCGTACATCTATTTAAAAGGTTTTTATATTATATATTTTTTACATTTTGACTTTATTTTCTCAATTTTCTGATTTTTATTTTTTTATTTAATATTTTAAATTATTTATCTATTTTTAACTTCATGCTATTTTATGTTATTATTACATTATTTTTCAATTTATATGAATTTTTATACTCCATAATATTTATCAATACTCCTAATTAATTTATCAATCAAAATCTAGACTTGATTGGTTGCATTCAAAAAGTAAGTGTACTTATATAGTTATATGATGTTTTTTAGTAAAATAACTTAAGTATTGATTTGAAATAGTAAAAGGATCTATTTGACGCTTTTCCCAAAAATAAATAAGCGGAATTTCGAATTATTTATTTTAAAGCATACGAGTATGTGGTAAACTCTAAAGACAAAACCAAAAATGAAAGTTGGTAAAATTCAAAACGGAAAACAACATATGAGATTTTATAATTTTATTAATCTCATTTTAATACATATATTTTCTTTAAAAAGTAACTTAAATAATTTTGTTTCATATTCATAAAAATTAATTCATGTACATCGTGTCAATTGCTTTTGTTTGTTCGATAATATTAAATTAGTTTTAATGACCGCAGCTATTTTATTAGTAAAATAATAGAAGAACTTTTAAAAATGGATTTTGAATTTCTTTAGTAATAATTAATAAGGGGTGTTTGAAATTGATTTTTCTTCACCTTCTAGAAACAGAATCAGAATCAATTTTTCATAAACAGATCCCCTAAGAGTGTGATAATTTGGTTTACTTATAAGACACCTAATAAACAATGAATAATAGTTTTTGTTAACAAATATTCGATGAAAATGTTGGCAAGTCGAAATGTAAGTCATGTTAATTGAAACGTAACTTGATACCAGTCGAAATGTAAATCACATCAATGGAAATATAATTGGAGACAAGTTGTAAATCGGGAAAAGGGTCAGATAGGCCCTCGAACTTACATAAAAAGGTCAAATAAGCCCTTATGTAGGAGGCTCTGTCCGGCCGTCGCCATTTGGGGCGGTTCCCGATGGAATTTTTTGATGAATTTTTTTGAACATCTTATTCATTAAATCTAGTTACTCATACCAAATTTTAGCTAAAACTTCAATCGGGAAGGCATTCAAATGAATTCTTGAAATAACTATTAACAAATCGAGTACTTGTCGAATAATTCGATCATGAGCTTATTAACGAGCATCACCTAAAATTCTGCATTGGAGCATATTCATCAAGATTATCGAGCGCTTATTTCAAGCATCAAATGCTTATCGAGTCGAACACAGCCTCATTTGCATGTAAAACTCGTCAAGCATCGAACTCGAACCAAAACACCACTTTTATTGAATCGAGATGAACTCGATTTTGGAATGTTCAGGGCTCCGCTGAGCTCGTTAATAGTCATATGCTAGTCTGATAAACTTGCTTTCACTATTACTATGCAGTGGCCAATAATATTTTTAGGAGTTTTATCAATCCAGAATCTAAAATATGGATGGATTAGCTATGAATGTGAGACCTGAAAGATGAAATGTGTCGGTATATGACACAAATTATTGAAAGCTATCAACCTAGGACCTAAGTTGTAACAACGTATATTATTTTTTGTTTTAAAATTTTAAATATTATTTAATTATATTAAACTAATATACTTTTGTGAAGAAAAATTCATCAGAAATTAGCAATTGTATTAAGAAAAAAAATCAAAATCTTTGAAATTTTAGGTCTTTGATTGATACTTTTCAATCATACAAGTCTTATACAGACACATTTATCTTTCATATCACAAATTGATAATTCATCTATATTCTGGTTCCTATGTTGATACAATTCATATCTTATAGTTTCTCATTAATTTATGTTAAAAAGTACTACATACTCTTTGAAATTAATTACTTAATATAGTCTTATTTTACATTATGTGCATATGCTCTTTTAATTTAGAACTATGTGGATATACTCTTTTTTAAAAAAAAGGAGAAAACTTATTTATCATAACTGGTAAAAATAACACGAGACAAAGCAATACAATAGCTCAAAGCTACCATGTAGTGACACATAGAACTGAGTAGTCTCTGAGGACCCGTCAAATTCGCTAACCCCGCATCATGGTAGACTAATCTATCAGCATCGCTGAACTTGCTACTAAAAGAAATAGACATAAAACTAGAGTTCTTAAAATGAAAACAACGAACAGAATCAAAACTCCTAGTTTCTGGAACCACCAATAAGGGAGAAGAGGTTTTATCAGCAACCTCCAAAGACACCATTCCGATTTTACCAGTCATCGGGAAGGGAGAAGAGGTTTGCCCACCTACCTCAAAAGGAAGCCTCCCGCTCACAAGATCTAATAGAATTCCAGTCGGTACTGATCCAGTAGCACCGCCGCAAAGCCGTTTTTTGTCCAGTTCCATTAACCTCCATACTGGCTTCCATCACTTGGATCGTGACTAGATTCCCTAACCCACTAGAGTTCTTGCTCACACACCCCATCCAAGCTGTCACCACACCCAACTGACCAAAGCTAGCGGGGACAGAAACACCCTATAAAGCGGGATATATCGGAAAGGAAACCCTGAGAATATCACCTGTGTAATTCGCCAACCTTGTCACGATGCCCTGTTGTTGCTACGTTGCTATCGGCCTTCTGGATATACACTTAAAATACTAAAATGTACATTTCGATTCTAATCTTCATCTTGATCGGGGCATAAGATTTATCGATTTTATGTATGGATATGTGAAAATGGGATGTGCTTATGGTTATTTTAAATCTAAAAGTCTAAAAAAAACTAGGGAAAATTATGGCAATATTACTAAAAGATAGAGCATTTTCCATAATATGACTAAAGAGAATGCATTTATGAAATTGCTGAAGTAGTGAAGGCTGAAACTTCTAGATAAAAAGCACAAATAGTAACATAACTATTGGTATTATTGCATTTGGTTACTTACCTCTTAAATGAAACAAACAAGTACCATAGTTATATGTAACCGGCAGTACTTTTCAAAATTCTGTTCAAAAAATCTTATGTGGTGGTCAAAATTCCACGTGTAGATTACACTGTACATTCAATGGTATGGATACAAGTTGTAAAGTAAACTCTGAATTAAATTTCGCCCTCATATAGGATTTTGGCCGAAAATTAAAATATTATTGTCATTTAAAACATTTATGTATAATTATGGTACTGATTTGGTTTACTTAAAGGTTAAGGTACCAAAAATGCAACAATACTAATAGTTAAGGTGTCGTTTATGCATTTCTGATAAGCTATAACCGAACCGCGGTGGATCACGTCTGCTCGGTCTTATTCAGTATAACCGTATAACATTAGCACAGAATCATGTGATAGTGATCATGAGGCTCAACCTCATTGATATAAAATGTCCCAAAGTAGAACACATTTGCCAATAGAAAGTTGGGCCAACATTATGATAATGGCCTCGACACTGGGGCTCAGCCCACTGTGTAGATGATCCGGGCTTCTGTTCTGGATCGCTTGTCTGGACCCTTGGAATATATGACAATATATTCTAAGAGCAAAATACATATTAAAAAGATATCTATAAGACCAAATAAAAAGAAAATTTAAACAAAACAGACTAGATCATATTAGATCTGAAAATTCTAGTCCAATAAAAAAACATCTTCATTCTCAATTTAAAATAAAAATAAAACAATATATGAAAGAATTAGGAAAAACCCCAAAGAAGAATATTAATGATTCTTGAGATTACAAACAATTGATTAATGTTATGCATGTTTTTTTATGCGCATGTTGTGTCGGATGTGTGGCCATACTAGGAAGGACCACTTGAGAAATGAGACAATCAGATAAAGTGTGGGAGTAACACCCATTGAAGAAAAGATGTGGGAGTCTCGCCTACGGTGGTTTGGTCATGTGCATAGAAGACCGAGTGATGCACCCGTCAGACGAGTTGAGATGTGTGGAGAAGAGGCAGGGAAGAGAGGGAGAGTGTTGGTCCCAGTTTATGCAGACTAACGCACAGCTAGATGGATATCATCGACAAACAGAGAAGAACGATTACCCAGAATGATTTATGCAATGTCGAGAACTTGGAAATCGTCTTTCTATTATATCGAGAAGTATTTTGGCAGCGTAAGGCTAAAGTGTATTGATCGATATCGGCACCTGTACACAAGGCGCATATTTATAGGCGCTGTACAGGTTACCGATTTAGGTAAACCTTGGAAGTTGGGCCAAGGCCTTTTTGGGCCTTATTCCCTTTAACTTATTTATTACATAATAATTACTAATCTAATACCATAAATGGTATAACTAGTCTACTTTATTAAACAAGACATTACAGACAAACTTGACCCACAATAAAAGTTCTAACAATCTCCCCCTTTGTGGTCAAGTGCCGTCTTGCTGGGTTTCTTCACTTCTGAGCTTTGTAATAGTTCTTTCTGAGATTAAGTGCATGCTCAT